TATTGAAAACGAAAACGGTATTGCCTCAGAGGGCTGGGTTTTTCGTGTCATGTCGCGAAAAATCTCACAACAACGTCACATCTTTCGAATAACAGGCTTGGGAGGAAAGTGAAAGGCAGAGAAATCCTTCAGGATTGCTTTACATGGTCACATATCAAGAAAGACTTGTCAAAGCATAGAAACTAGTAGGTGACAGTCGACAGAGAGACTTTTAACACCGCTTGAACACATTAAATAAGTCCCAACATAGGGCTTCGCAACTCTGCTTTCCTTTGTTCATCAGCTTCACTTTGAAAGAAGTCATGGGTGTTTAAGGAAAGGGAATTCGGAGTGCTCGGCTTGGAGCTGCATTCGTATCGCGAAGTAGCTCCCTCTAATATCACGGCACAGCTGCAACTTTGGGCGGTCGAGAACAATTAATATTCACACGTACTTTCCTACTGTCCTTTCTTTTCCCTGTGCCTTATTGTGGTCAATCCTTAATCTTCTCCTTCCTTTGTAATTATCTCTTTTTTCGAACTCTTCGCAGTTTATACTTGATTACCCTTGTATCCTTTTTTACGTCATGCATTCAAGCAGACCTTCCATTTTTTTTCTGGTGTTTTCATTCTTCAACTACTGGCAGATTCATGATAAAGGCGCCAGCACTTCAGTTCATCATAAACGATTATTTGCTGGCGTAACATAGTCTAGGTGCTACCAGATGAGCAGCGGACAAGGAGGGGGGGGGTGGTTTTCAGCGTAAACTCATTACGAGGCGATGGCGTGTCCTAAGTTCAGCCAGTGTTCTATGGTAAGTTGAAAGTTTGCGGGGCAAGTGCTGAAAACGGAGCAAGCTGACTCCCTAAAAGAAGCATAATTTGTTAAGTTATAGTTTAGGCTTTTTCCTCTGATTTGTTCATTTAGAGCACCAACACACCAGCTGTGCTTTCATCACCATCTACCTGCTCGCTGCTGTGTTCAGTAGTGAGACCTGTGCAAATATAGCCCCTCTCGCGAGTGAAGAGCGACCCCCCCCCCTCACCTCCGTCGCAGACTCCTGCAATGTATGCTCGTGAAAGGTGCCCTGTTCAGAACGCACCTCATGTCTCACAAGTCTCAAATCACCTCCCGCATGGGGCAGCAAGGTTTCTACTGTCCGGGGCCGATGCATTTATACCAGATTCGTATGAGAGGATGAAAACGCTGACTTTACGCCTCCGCAATTCGTCGTATGGGCCGTATCGCATTACTAAGCTAATATGCTTTCGGAATAAAGCGGAATCTGTGCCGTGCCTCAGAAAGGGACCGCACAAAAGTGGAAGCTTTATCCCTCACCTTTTCTTTTTTTCATTATCAATCGAGGGTGCTGTGGAAGGTCGGGGTGCCCTCGCGAGATAGTATTTAAACTCTCTCGATGAAAATCTGAGATACTAAGAGGAACTTGCATAGGTGGATCTGGCTGACAGAGCCCAGATGGAACAGCCAGTGGGGCCCAACATAAAGAAACGAATCATACTAGTGATTAGTGCACGATTATGTGGGAGATTTCTGTTCCATTG